ATACACACACACACACACACACACACATCAAGTTTTGAAGTGTTTAAACACACACACATGATCCAAATACGGTACATAAGCTTGAGAAGTCTAAGTAGAGACTTAACGAAGCATCGCATAATAGGAATCTGCACTTCCGTAAGAAAGTCAAAGTGTACTGATTGCTAGAAGTTTATTTGATCTTTGGGCACATTTCAAAGCTAACGGGAGCATAACTGTTATGCTGGTATTACATGTTGACAATACTGTTCGTAGGGAACAATGTCTCCAATTTCCAAATTGCAAAGTTCGGAAACTATTTCACTATAGTGGACTTAAGGGAGATGACACTCATACTTCATTTCAAATCTAAAGGTTTAGATTGTATAGTTTAATATAACTTAGTTAAAGACATATATGAATATCATGTTGAAACAATTCAACATAGTGATTCCATATATGAAACTATTATATCAAGAAATTGAATAGATATTAAATCCTTGTACAGGTAATAATAAGTCGAGTTCCGTATGCATTGGATATAGGATCGATCATGTATGATATAATATTCGCTTATTCTGATTTTTCCAAATGCCTTTAACATTGTGAGAAAAGGATTAGAGTCTTATGTGACTAAAGTTGTTAAAACATTTGTCAAGAACATTATAAGATTTTACCAAAGATGATTGCTTGTGGACATTAGGAAGTTAGATATTATTATTGGGGACATACCATAGTGACACGTTTTGGATTGGGATTATTCTTGGTCAGAATTGATGGTCATATCGGAATATGGGATTGTTTCCATAATGGGAGATGGTTACAAAAAATCTACATGTGATTCGGAAACTTTAATGCAAGAGAAGTGTCCAAGGAGTGTACCTTGAATTAAAACATCATTACCATGGAATTGTTTCAAGTAACAAGTTCTAGTTGAACATTCTGCAATATCGATGAATCGGTCTCTATGACTTTAGAACCTCGACATCACAGAAGGTCAATGCATGTAAAGATGAAATTCCATTACATCTTAGATAATGATAAGAATTAGGAATTGTGAAAATGATCATCGTTGGAGAAATGACCAGTCGATCTGTTCACAAAGGAAGGGCCATGGAGAGACATAATATGTATGTTTATAGCATGGCATGACTGATGTTATTTAATTCAAGTGATTAGTTGATTACACAAAACAATATACAATGAATAAATTCGTAGTTGTTATTGTGATTAGATAATAGGGATGTATTTATATTAAAGGGTTATGATACCATAGTTAATTAGTTTATTATTGTATTTCACTTTGCATGTTTACTTCCCTGATTAATTTAAATTGTATTCAAAATTCCACAGCCATTCATACTTTTAGAAGTGAGTAGTGAATCAAGACTGTCATGAATCATTTGTAGATTGTCTATGGAGATTAGACATTGCATAGGGATTGCTTTAATATTCATGAGTACTTAGAAAATGGAGATTTTGAGTATTGGATAAACCCACTCTTAGAGATTACTTCATGGATTCAATCACAAGTAATTCTAAGACGATAGCTTCTACTATTCTTCAAATGGAGATACATAAAATTATAGTTTTAAAGTTAGTTGTGCATTGGTATTGCGTAAACGCATTAGTAACTTGATGGTATAAAACGTAGCGTCATGTGTGACTTGGTGATTAAAATGTATGATTATATAGTCAAAGTTTATTCGATCCTTTTTCCTTAATATAAAAAATGATATCTTCCCCACCCCCTGTGATTTGAGTTGATCTATAAGAAGCATGCCTGGTCTGGACTAAATTGATGTGCTCGATTTTGTAGTATGAATTTGATCGTAAAATCGGAGACCGAAAATCAAAAAAATGAACATGAGGTTGATCATTTAATCCATGATTCTGTTCCTATGATATCTTGTAGAACGAAGGAATACCCGATCACTTATCTTAGGGCCAACTTTGATTTGAATCAGAGTTCGACAGTGACTTTAGAAAACACACTTTTTTTGTTTAATTGAAGGTTATACTAGTTGTAGTTATAGACTTATATGAGTGGGAGACTGTTGGATTAAGGTGTCTAAGCTCATAACTAAATTTGTATACACTTGTAGTTAAAAACAAAGTCATTTTTGGGTTACCCTCATAACCGGAAATAACTAGAAATGATATTAGGCGAGCGAGAGAGATAAATGATTTGTAAATAAATTATATGATTAATATATTAATTAGAAAAATAATTTATTTGTTAATTGAGATGATTGATAAATTAATATGAAATCAATAAGAATTAATTAATTATTAATCAGACTTAATCTAGAACTAATTCGGAAATATTTGGAATTAATTAAAGGTGTAAGTGGTGAATTGTAATTGTTTAATAGTTGAACAAAGGAGACCATTATAGAACCATCCAAATCTTGGACGGTTTTGGGAGCACTTCTACGATTTCTGGAAGTCTCCTGGTTGCAAATAAGGAAATGATTTGAACTGTGATTAAATTTATTATTTAATCAATTCAAATATGGTTTTATCTGCAAGTTGCCTAAACTATATATAAGACTCCTTGGCTTGCAAATTTGGAGCACAATATTTCTAATAGGCTTATGAAGGAAATCTCCTTCTCCTTCCTTCCTTTCTCTCTCTCTCTCTCTAGGGTTTCTAGTTTTGGAAACTTACATATAAAATTCAAAGGAAAACTTATAATACCTATCTAAATGCATACATTATACAGGTTTTAATGTATAATCTAAAATAAAGGCATATAATTATAAACATAATGAAAACTTACATATAAAAATGCATCTCATCATCGCTATCAGAAGACATTTTCAGTTTTAGTGGTGTCTGGAATGCTCTGTAGGGTAATCCAAAATGGGTATTCCGAAATGAAAGAGTTTGAAATGAAATCCGAAATGGGTTAAATAGTATTTATAGGGGGACCATATTTCCGGGTCAGATCCTTACCCATAATTGCACCGAATACAAAATCAGGTCCGGAATGACCCATTCCGAACCAAGTGGTCATTTTACTAAAAAAGTGTTATTATTAATAAAATAACATTGAAAAGTGGTTAATTTATTAAATTTCCCTAATATATATATATATATATATAT